GTTTCGACACTATTCCGGGCGCTCGAACATAATCCTGGCCCTGATCACGCAGTGAAAACGTGGCCTCACCGAGGTCCCCGTCCTTGCAGTCGGGATAGTTCGTATGTGCGGTTTGGTTCGACTCATCTGCAGACGAAGACGCCCTGTCCCTAATGTTTTTTGGCCCTCCTAACTTGGGTCCCCTCCCAAAGGGTTAGGGGTCCTTTTGTGGTTAATCAAAGAGAGGTACCCTGAGACGCTGGCGTTGCAAGTGGTCGTTTGCTTATTCCTTGTTTTGCCGATCGGCGCGGGCCCTCGCACCCACTCCCCCCCCGCCGTGCAGTAGATCTCGGCTGTTGTTGGCGCTTGTTTCAAACGGGTGGAGTCTCCCCCATAATGGACGCCTTGTTGCAAACAGTCGCGCTAAGCAGAGGTCCAGAGCCAGACCCCCCCTCCTTCTCCTCCCATTCCGCCCAATGTTGAAACGCCGAATCAGGAAACGCTCACCAGCTTTTTCACAGCGTGCGTTTTCGTCCGGTATCGGGCCCCAGGGCGCTAACAGATCGATCGGGCTCCAGAAAAAGGCACCGAAGATGGGGGCCGGGGTTCTGGTGGTGATTTTCTGTGATCGATGCTGCATCTTGTCTGTCTGTTTGCTTCATTAACCTGGCGTCAGATCTAGGGGAGGTACGGAGATACATTCCACATTCATGGTGAGGACGAGCGACTTCCCAAGGTTTCCCCTCACATCCTCTCCCCTCGGCTCATCCTTGGCCACGCTCATGGGCCACGCCCCGCTCGAAAAGTGCCAGCATGGCCTTCCGAGGCCCGAGCAGGGGATCGCCTACACAATTGATTTACACCAAGCTTGATTTTCTCGCCGAACCCACGAGAAAAATACGCAGAATAGTCCGTAGATTTACGGAACATGGTAGGTACGATGTTTCGTGGATCCGACGGGAAATCAGTTTTTGGGCACATCGATTCTGTAGTCGATCCCTTGCTCGAGAGGCCCTTGCGTCCTCACCCTTCAAGCAGTGGCGTAGCGTCCTGGCGTGCCTATAGGCCTGCCAAACAATGTTCTAAGACCCTTTTGTGGCCTCCACGAACTGTTCTTAGAACATTTCTGGCTGGGACTGTCTTGTTTCAGCACATCGGGTTGATGTTCTACGGACGCGGTTTCTGTTCTTAGAACATGTCTGGGTTCTAAGCACATGTCGTGGTACAGTCGGGGCACTGAGGAAGGAACCCTTTTCTTCGTTGGGGAGGGGCTCGGTGTTCCTTAGTTGTTTTGCAGTTCGCCTTTGATCTTGCTTAGAGCTTCGATGGGAAATCGAAGTTCAACTTGTGGGAAAAAGAGGCCTCGTTCCTTATTTAGGGTTCCTGAGGTCAACGCTCCTTCTGTAGGTCTATAGAAATGCCGGACGGTCGGCCCCTGCTCGAGCCGTGCGTCCCCGCTGCCGCTTCGGACCGCCCCTGGGGTGCCTCTGCGCCTCCGCCGCTCTCTGCGCCTCCCCTTCGGCCCCCATCAGGAGGGGAACCAACACACAGACAGAATGAATCGTCGACCCCCCAGAATATATATGTATATATATATATATATATATATGTATATATATATATATATATATATATATATGGGACTAGAACCGCTAGGTTCTAGCCCAGGCCGGGGGCGCGCTAGAAGATTTTGGACAGTGCTATCAAGCACAGGTGCGTGACATAGTCGTGCCTCCTGAGGGCCTCCTGGGAACCTCTTGGGTCTCCTGGGGGCTTCCTGGGAACCTCGAGGGGCCTCTTGGAAGCCTCTTGGGGGGCCTCTGGAGGCCCTTTGGGGCCTGCCGCGGGCGTCTTGGGGGCCTCTTCGGGCCTCTTGGGGGTCTCTTAGGGGCCTCTTGGGGGGCCTCTTGGGGGCCTCCTGGGGCGGGGGGGCTGGAAGGTTCAGTTGGGTTTCCCGTCTTGGGCCCCTCTTGGGGCCCTTCGGGGACGCGTTTGGACCGTCCTGGGCGCCTCTTGGACTGTCCTGGGCTCCTCTGGGGCCGTCTGGGGGCTCTCTTGTGGGCTTCGTGGGCCGTCTTGGGGCGGTCTAGGGAGAGTCTGAGGTCGTAAAGGACGGTACGAAGGCCAAAACATCGAATATGGTAGAACTGTACGTTTTACGGAGGGGACGGGGCTATTTTTGCTTCCCGGGGCCGTCTGGGGGGATCTCTTGGAGGGGTCTTCGAGCGTCTTGGAGGCGTCTGGGGCGGTTCGAGACGCCTCTTGAGCCGCCGGAGACCGCTGGAGGTTGTCTTCAGGGTGGCTCTGGGCGGCCTGGGGCCGCCTGGACGGCCGTCTGGGCGCTTCGGGGGCCGACCTGGGGCCCGCCGGGGAGCGGGCTGGGCCCGACGTCCCCTCATTTGTGGTCGGGGCTGCGGCCCCGGGGCCCCCGGGCCTGGTGCGGCGTTATATGTATAAACTATGGGAAGAGTGGGGGAAGACAAAAAACCCAGACAATATGGGAAAATCGGGGGAATCCTGTTACAACCAAAACGCTCAAATAAGGAACGGTTTGGGTTTGGAAGGGGCTCGGTATTTCTCAGGTCCTTCCTTGGCTGTTCCATTAGCTCTCCTCGTGCAGCCGGGCGCTTCTGGGGCCCCAAAGGGGCTTCGTTGCTTATTTTGCTTTCCTTCTGGTAGCACCTCGACTGTATTTGTGTGTATTCATTTGTGAGTCCCAGGGACCCTTCGGCTCCCATCTTGAACTGGGGGGGGGTCTACGGCCAGGGCCGCCCCGCTCCCCGGCACGCCGGGGGCCCCTCTGGGAGAGGCCCGGGGAGCCGCGGCATCGGCTGCTGGGTTTCGTGTTCCACCACCATTCACCACAGGTAGGCGAGGGAGGAGGAGGAGGAGGAGGAGGAGGAGGAGGAGGAGGAGGAGGAGGAGGAGGAGGAGGGGGAGGAGGAGGGAGAGGGGGAGGGGGAGGAGGCCCGCGTCATCCTCCCTTCTCCCCTGTCCTGCTTATGATTCGTGGTGGTGGAAAAGTCGTACATCATTGGCACCTGCCGCAAGGGGTGCCGTCAAGACGCTGACATGAGGAGTCGCTTGGGTTCGACAAGGGCCCGATGCTCCTTCTAGGTTCCTCCGCTGCTGCTCCTCTTGCCCTCCCGGTGCACCTGGGGCGCTTCTGGGGCCAACCAGGGGCTCCGTTCCTCACCCCCCAGAGGGGCATGGAGCGAAGCCCCCCTGTTGGCCCTGAGAGCAAGGACGTCGACAGCGTGCCTGTCGTTCGGCGGCCCGACTGCATACCCATGGCCGCGCCCTCGCGGTCTGGCCACCTGGGCGCGACCCCGCGGACGCGCTCCGCGCGGGGGCCTCCGCCAGCAACGCGCCCCGCCTCCGCGGGGGGGCTGCGGCCCAGCGGCCCATGGGGCCCGGCCCGCGAGGCCGCGGACACGGACGTGTCTTTCTCTCGGCGGCGAGCGAGGGGGGGAAGTGAGAGGGAGGAGGCCTTCTCAGAGGGTGGCGGGGCTTCTCAGAAGCCCTCGCGCCTGCTCCGAGAAGGGGGCCTGTCTTCGGGGAAGGCCCAGAACGCTTCCGAGAAGGCCCGGGGGCCTCCGAGCCTTCCGAGAAGGGGCCCGCCCCCGCTCCGGCCCTGGCTCGCCGCCTGCTGTCGCCCACGCATCCGGCTGCTCCCCCAGATCCGGGCGCTCGCGCGGCAGGAGTTCGAGGACGTGTGGTCGCTGCCGCTGCTCCGGCCAGAGGTATCGTGCGGCGCGCAGGAGGGGGCCGGCGCGAGGCGGGAGGGCTTCTCCGGATGGGGCCTCGGAGAAAGCGGGAGAGGGCCGCTGCTTCGGAAGCCCCCCCCTCCCGCCGTCTTCGAGGGCCCCCCGCCACCCTCCCCCCTTTCTGCGAGCCGCCGAGGCTGGTGGGCCTGCTCTTCGCTACGGTGGGGGCGTCTGATCAGGCATGTGCCCAGGAGGCTTCAGACCCTGGAGGACTGTTTGTCTACTTCGGGCGGCGGTGATCTCCACTGCCGATCCGCGATTGGAGTTCCACCGGCTTCCCGTCCCTGGATTCCGTATCGTGTGACTTGAAGCCGTTCTGAATCGCGTAATTGGAAGAGTTGGTCTCGTGTAATTCCTCTTGAGGCCTGCTCCGACTCACTTGTACTGTTTTCCGTCGTCACCCTTGAAGAGAAGCAGAGCTGGTGGTAGTGGGGAGCATGGGTTCTTTATCTAAGGGTTCCGTATCGAAGGATTCCTTGTCTAAGGGTTCCTTATCTAAGGGTTCCTTCTCCAAGGATTCCTCGTCAAGGGTTCCATACACAGCGCCCTCACCGTACCACCACTGTGGACCAGGGGGGGCGGCGGGCTGACGGGTGCGGTCGGGAATTTTGGGATGCAGCGCGTCGCGCCGCCGGTTTTGGCCCCACGCGCTTCGGCGCGACACGCTATCGACTTCCTGGTCCCTGGGCGTCAGCGTCCCGAGTTTTCCACAGCCTCGCGCCCCGCGGAGCAGAGCGACACCCTATGTGATATCGATTGTTCGTTGAATTCCGTAACGTCTGTTTCGGCGGGGCCGCCCCCCCTTCCCCCACCCCCGTAACGGTAATGAGCGTACGCGGGGGGGGGGGGCAGTCCCCCCACAGGAAGGTGCCAAGATCAGGCATGGTGTGGTGCTGGCAGGCATCGGAGGGCTTCCTGGCGCCTCCAGAGGCCTCCGAAGACTTCCTGAGACCTCTGGAGACCTTCAGAAACGGCTGCCATCGTCGTCGTCGTCGTCGTCGTCGTCGTCGTCGTCGTCGTCGTCGTTCTTGTCGTCGTCATCGCTGTCGTCGCCGCCATCGTCGTCGTCGGCGTCGTCGTCGGCCGTGGTCGTCGTCGTCGTTGTCGTCGGCGTCGTCGTCGGTCGGGGTCGTTGTCGTCGTCCTCGTCTTCATCCTCGATGCCATCGTCGCCATCGTCGTCGTTGTCGTTATTGTTGTCGCCTTCGTCGTCGTCGTCGGCGGCGGCGGCGGCGGCGGCGGCCGTGGTCGTTGGCTCAAGTCCGTAGCCACTGGGCTCAAGGGAGCGGGCATATGGGAGGCCCATTCGCGGCGCGCGCCCCCCGCGGCGCGCTCAGGCGCTCGCGTGTGGCCCGGCGTCGGTGGCGGCGAGGACGCGCTCCACGGCAAGAGGCGGGCAGCGGCGAGTGCGCGGTTTCTGGCAAGGCGCGCACGCGGGGAGGAGCGTGCGCAGCTGGGTCACACGCGTGGAGCGCACGCGCTCCTTTGGCGAAAGTGCTGGCGTCCCCGGCGTGTGGACGCACGCGTTCCGCAGGGGCGCCGCCCAAGACATGGCCGCCCAGGGCTGCCAACTATGGGAAATCCTTCAGGCCGGAGGATGGAAGTCGGCCGCGCTCATGGCGTATATGAAAGAACACGAATTAGAAACGGGCGCTTGTGCCGCGGCAGCGTTGGCTCACCGCGCCACGGGATTCAGGCGGGCGCTGCTTGCGCCTTGGCAGCTGGCGGACCTCGTGGGCGCCCACTGCCCCACCGCAGGAGCGGAGCTGGTGACGGCGCTCCTGCTCGTGATCGGTGCCCCCATCATCGACGAGACGGAGGGGGCGCTCAACGAGGGCAGTTGGGGTGAGGCACGCGCCGCCACCGGCGTGCGCAGGCACGGTGCGGCCGCCCCCCGAAGGCTTCGAGGCGGCCGTGCGTGCTCGAGCGCTTCCTGGCAGGCGCGAGCACGCCTCGCCGCGGGAAGGCGGATGAGTTCGCGCCGCAGGCGGTGTGCGTCATGGGCGGGGTCGTCGGCAAGAGCGGGGGCAACGAGGAGTGGGAAGAGCGAGCGGTGGGAGTGCTGCTTACGGCCTTCGGGGTACAGTGCGACGAGCGCGCTGGCGAGGGCGAGACGAAGGAGGGCGAGCTGCTGGCGGTCTCGGAGGCTGACGGCGGGAACGAGGACAGCTCGCCCCAGGAGTCGGAGGACAGCAAGTTGGCGGACTCGTCGGCGGTCTACGCCGACTGCGAGCTGGACGTTTCGTTGGAGGGCGCTTTCTCCGAGTGTGCCGGCGCGGAGATGCCCGCGGCGCCCGAGGAGGAGTCGGAGGAGAGCGTGCAGGAGGACGAGGGGCGGGGCGTTTTCGAGCTGGGCGCTGAGCTGGCGAGGGGCTCGGGCGGCGCTGGCTCGCCCAGACGCGACGAGCTCGAGGTCGGCGACGCGGGCACTTCGGCGGAGGGCCTGGGGGCGGAGGAGAGCGAGCAGGATAGTTCGGGCCAGTCGGAGGGCGACGGGCACGGGGAAGGGGGTCCACTTCGCCGAGGGCGGCGTGGGACTCCGAGGCCGCGCCGCCGCGGTGCCGGGGCGCCGTCGCCTCGGCCGTGCCATGGCGACGCCGCGGCGGCGGAGCGCAGACGCGCGCCCGACGGCGAGTGGTACACGTTCGTCGAGTTCGAGGAGTGTTCGGTGGATCCGGAGGGCCACGTGTGGAGACGGTGCGCCACGGAGGCGGGCAGGAACGCGCTCGCGAAGGAGCTGAAAGCCGAGCGGCAGGCGCTGGAGGCGAAGCTGCGGGGCAACTGGATGCTGCTCGGGGGCGTCGCGCAGGACGGCCTCGAGCGGTGCCTCAAATGCCCCATCGAGGACGTTTCCGCGGACAGGATTCGGAGAGTGGTCAGGATCCTGGTGAAGAAGGGCTTCGTCTTGCACGAGGCGGGTTCAGGCGGGGCCGTGAGGCGGCACCGCCAGGGGGTCAGAAACTTGCGCGGGCAGGTTGAACGCAGGGCGTCCGCGCGCACTGCGCGTGGGGCGCCCGCGTGGCTCGACCCGCGCGCCACCGGAAACGTCGTCTGCCTCGGCTGTCTTGCGTACGCCTCCAGAAGCCTCCGCCTACCTCTGGGGCCTCAGACTTTCAGAGGTGGTCGTCTTTGTCTTTGTCGTCGTCGTCGTCGTCGTCTCGCCGTCGTCGTTGTCTCGCCGTCGTCGTCGTCGTCGTCCTCGTCCTCCACGTCCTCGCCCTCGCCCTCGTCCTCGTCCTCGTCCTCGTCCTCGTCCTCGTCCTCGTCCTCGTCCTTGTCCTCGTCGCCGTCGCCGTCGCCGTCGTCGTCGTCGTCGCCGTCGTCGCCGTCGCCGTCGCCGTCGCCGTCGCCGTCGCCGTCGTCGTCGTCGTCGTCGTCGTCGTCGTCGTCGTCGTCGTCGTCGTCGTCGTCGTCGTCGTCGTCGTCGGCCAGCAACTAGGGCCCCCCCCCCGCGGGGCCCGACCACATTTTTGTTATACCCCCCACGGGGGCCCGACCCCCCCCCCTAGCGGACGTAAGGGGGCGGAGATCATGTAATCATTTTGCTTGCAAGGATTGGCGCGTCGCCGGGGCCGCCGCCGCGTCGCGCCAAGCAACAGTTCCCGATGGTAGTTTTTGGTGGGGTGCGGCTGGCGCCTCGTCTGGCGAAACCAGGCATGCGGCGTGTCTCGCCTTTGTCGCGGCGCGGCCCCCCGACCCCTCGACCACTTCCTTGGGGTCGGCTTCTGCACCCCGAGCCGTCCGCTGACGGCCCCGAGCCCCAGCAAAGATTCCGAGGGGCCGAAAATCCGAGGCGGGAATTTATACAAGACCGCCGCCTGGAGGGTCAGTTTTCGGAGCTTCGGCAGGGGGTGGATATGGACATATTCGGGCCCCCGGGGGCCGAAATATATCCATAACTATCCACCGCCCGCTGGGGCACCAGGACGTCGGTTCCCAGGCGGTGGATATGGATAAATTCCCGCCTCGCAGAAACCGAGGAAGCTTTGCCCCAGGCGCCGCGTAGGCGCAGTGATCAGTGGCGGTCAGTCGCCGGCAGCCCCGAGAGCCAGGCAAACGCCGAAGCAGCCCCCAAGGCGGCGGCGAGGCAGAGCCGAGCGCGCCGACCGGAAGCCTTGCAAGCCCATGGCAAGCCAGCGTCCGCGGCGGCGACCAGGGCGGCGACGGGCGAGCAGCGGCCGAGCCCCCGGCACGCTCAGCCTGCGGAGGCACCGCCAGAGGCCAGCCGCCCCCCCGAGCTGCAGCGGTGGGCGCTCGAAGGGGCCCACCCCGCATGCGGCCAGCTGCTCGAGGAGGCGGACGCTTTCCAGGCCTGGGCGGCCCGCCAGGGCGTCCGCTGCCCCGGGCTGCTGCTAAGCGGCAGGTGGTACTTCAAGCGGACCTCGGAGGAAGAAGAACGGTACACAAGCGTGCATCTGATTGTGAGGCCTGCTCCCGGACAGTTGGGGCGCTTCTCCCCCAGCCCGCCGGGAAGCGCCCCCAGCTTCGTGGGCGCGGTCGCCCCGGCACCGGCAGCACCCGAAACTTGCCCACGCTTGTTTTTTGAGTGAGCCTTGTCTCGGTCATATTTTCAGCTGCGAACATCACCTTTCGATCGCCCGCGCGGGTTTCCCGGGGCGGCGCCGGACCCCTCTGGCGGCGCCTCCGGCGCTGCCCCGCGCGCCGGGGACGGGGGCTCCAGCGCCCCTCCGCGAGATCCGCGCAGACCTCCGAGGTTTTGTTTTCCTGCCCTCTCGTGTTCAGCCAGGATGGACCCCCGCTACGACGCCTTCTTCGGCCGCCTGCTCGCGGAGGTGCTGCGCCGGGTTGACGAGGCGCTGCTGGGTCCGGCGGCGCCGCTCAGCTTCCACCAGGACTACTGCATCGGCTTCGCGGAGGGGCGGGACACCCAGCTGAGGGTACACACGGACGACTCGGACCTCACCGTGAACGTGCTCCTGGGCCACGGCCCCGGCGGGGCGCACAGCGGCGCCGAGCTGGTCCTGCTGGCGCCCACCGAGGAGGACACCCGCTGCGGCAGCCCGCGCCTGGACGGCAGCTACCGGGGGAAAACGTACACCTACAGGCACGCGGAGGTCGGGCGGGCCGTGGTGCACTCGGGGGAGCGGTGGCACGCGGTGCGGCCGCTGCGGGCGGGGGCGCGGTCGAACCTCATCATCTGGGCGATGCGCAACGACTGCGACTGGAAGAAGGGCTTCTACGCCGAGATTTAAGTCGGGCGCGTCCCTCTGCCGGAGGAATATTCAGAAATAGTCAAAACATAGTCATGGGACGATTTTTTGAATATTTGTTGGCCGCTCTGGGGCATTTCTGGACATTTTTTGTGACTGTTTGTCCAAAACCCCCCTGCAGGAGGACAGGCCCGACTTAAGCCGAGATGGACAGCTACCTCGACGAGAAGGCCGCGTCGCAGGCTGGGTAGAGGCCCCCTGGAGGGTGCTGTGCCGGTCGGCGGAGCTGCGGCGCGCCGGCGTGCCGAGACCTGTCCGCCGCGAGGTGGGCCCGCACGGCTCTTCGCCCAGGGTGCGGAGGCGTTCTCTGTGCTTCCGTCGCGGGTCGTCTGGTTCAAGCAGTGGCGAAGCGGCCTGGCATTGCCTATAGGCCCACTGCAGGGAGTGTTCTCTAGTCACTCGTCGTGGTCCGCGCCCTTGTGATTCGAGCACTCCTGACTGGGGCTGCCCTGCTTCGATGCATCGGGCCTCTCTTCTAGGAGAACGCTGTCTTTTTTTCTCTCCGAACTTCTGGGGGGTCTAATAAAGCATGTCGTGGCAGGCCTAGAGGAATGCCGGGATGGCCGGTGCGGCTCGACGCGCGGGCATAGAGGATGTCGAGGAGGAGGAGGAGGAGGAGGAGGAGGAGGAGGAGGAGGAGAGAGGAGGAGGAGGAGGAGGAGGAGGAGGAGGAGGAGGAGGAGGGGGAGGGGGAGGGGGCCCGGGGATCTCCTGGATGGCTTGGCTCCACTTCTGGGGGCCCGGCGCGGCGCCGCTCGTCGCCGCTCCGTCGCCGCGGCCTCTCGTGGCCGGGGCCGCGGGCGGAGCGCCGCCGGCGGAGCGCCCGGCGGCGTGGGCGGCGCGGGCGCGTAGCTGCACGCCGCCCTGGCCGGCGACGGCGCGGGGCGCAGGCCAGCGTGCGCAGGCCGGGGCTACAGCAGGGGTGGACCTAAACGGTTCGGGAGCGGGTCGATGCACACGGGGGTCAGCCAGAGCGCCAGATCTTGCAGGGTCCTGCGAGGACCTCCTCTGGCTGACCCAGGTCAGCGAGCCGCTTGTGGCCGCGAGGCGGCCGCGCATATCGGCTGACCCGGGTTTGCGAAGACCTGCGTTGCAGTTTTTGTTTCTTGCATTGCAGTTTTTTGGCTTCTTGCTGACCCGGGTCAGAAGATCCCCGAACGGCGTTTTGGTGATTTCGTGGGCCGTTTTCGTTCCGGTGTCGTTTTGCGGCAGAGGCAGGTTGGAGATAAGACGAGGGCAAAAACGACGACAAAACGAAAACGAAGAACACTGCTTAGGTCCAGCCCTGGCTTGCAGACCCGCTCGCATCGTGAACAGCAGCGATGGCTGGCCGCGCGCGCTCGCCTCCGGGGTCCCTCCAGCTGGGCCCCCGGGCGGTCCCAAAGAGCGGCGCGGAGTTCCGGAGGACGCGCAGTCTACGGTGCCCTCTTCAGGCCCTGAAGGGCCCCTCTTCGGGCCCTGAAGGGCTCCTTCTGGGCCCTGTAGGGCCTTTTCGGGCCCTGAAGGGCCCCTCTTCTTTTCGGGCCCTGCAGGGCCCCTCTGGGCCCTGTAGGGCCTTCTCGGGCCCTGTAGGGCTTCTTCTGGCCCCGAAGGGCCCCTCTTCAGGCCCTGAAGGGCCCCTCTTCGGGCCCCAGTGGGGCCCCCTCAGGGGCTGAACGGCCCCTCTTCTGCGGCCCTCGCTGCCCCTCCCCCCCCGCGCAGTTGTCGCCCGCCCAGTGCGCGACGGCCCCTGGGCTGTCCCCAGGGAGGTGCCCAGGTCTCCGGGGTTAAGTCGGGCTTGTCCCTCGACAGGGGGAATATTCAAACATAATAAAAAGTAGTCTGGGGACTATTTATTTGAATATTTTCTGCCATTTTGGAGTATTTTGGGGGGTATGTTTCCTTACCTAGGCTCTGCCTAGAAGGGTTATTGCTGTGTTTGCTTAAAGGGGCCGGGCAGTGGAACCCGCCCCGGGCGGTTCCCCCAGGATCCGCCCCGCGGTTCCCCCAGTCCCCTTGGAGCTTTAGCTTTAGCTTTAGCTTTAGCTTTAGCCTTAGCCTTAGCCTTAGCCTTAGCTTTAGCTTTAGCTTAACCTTAGCTTAGCTTTAGCTTAGCTTTAGCTTAGCTGTAACTTAGCTTTAGCTTAGCTTTGGCTTAGCTTTGGCTTAGCTTTAGCTTAGCTTTAGCTTAGCATTATCTTAGCTTTAGCTTAGTTTTAGCTTAGCTTTAGCTTTAGCTTTAGCTTTAGCTTTAGATGTAGCTTTAGCCTTAGCCTTAGCTTTAGCTTAGCTTTAGCCTGGCTTTAGCTTAGCTTTAGCATAGCTTTACTGTTACTACTAATGCTGCTTTCCTAGGGGCTCCAACTCCTAGGTAGGGTCGTACTGGGATATTTTTTCATTTTTCGTCGAACATCCCCCTGTAGGGGGACACGCCCGACTTAACTCTGGGGGCCCCCTCCCTGCAAAAGCGCAGGCCTAGCGGCTGACACCAACACCGACGTCGGCGTCGTGCCTCCACCGACGGAGGCGAAGATCCCGATCTCGGCGATGGTGACAGTCCTCTGGCTTCCGAGGCGGCCGACCTGTTCCAATTCACACCGAACTCGAGGATCATCTTTCCCCTGTGGAGGCACCCAGGCCTCCAGCAAGAGTCACGACGTCGGGGCCTCCAACAAGAGTCACGACGTCGGGGCCTCCAACAAGAGCCACGACGTCACGACGTCACGTGTTGGTGCCCATGTCCAGGCCTCCAGCAAGAGTCACGACTGTCGGGGCTCCGGGGTGCGCGGGCGCTGCGCGCCTGCTCCGCTCGGCTCCATGACCGGGTGGCAGCGCCCCCCCCCCCGCCTCGCGCCATGCCATTACTCGTGTGGCCCCCGTCGGGGTGGGCGAGTCCGGAGCAAGAAGGGCCTGGATTTGGGTCGGGCATGTCCCTTTGCAGGAGGATCTTTCAAGGTATCGTCGCAAGATGGTCTTCGGGGCGATCGCTCGTGGTCTTCTGCTTATGCTTTGCTTCTGTTGGGACTATGTGTTTAGTGCTTCTTCCCGAATCCACCTGCAGGAGTACCCATCGGTCGTTGAAAGTAGGTATTTTGGGATTCCCAGATTCCAATCTACTTTCAGCGCCTTCCTACTTCCAGAGTCGAGTGGTTTTCCCTCTCCCTTCCTCTTCAGGAGGCGTGCGGAAACCCAATCTATTTCCAACGCCTTCCTACTTCATGTTTCTACCTACTTCTTCCGACCGATGGGTACATGCCCGATGAGAGCTGCCGTGTGCAGCCGGCCTCAGCGCCGCCGCCGTGCGCTCGACGCGCGGCCGCCCCCCACCGAACGGGGGGGGGGCGCCGGCTGCATGCAGCGCTGACTGGCTTCGTCCACGCCGACCCTGGCCATCGTCCATCTCGCGCTGCGTCACCCCCTCGGTCCCTGGGCTGGCAGCGCTCCTCCCCGCCCAGCGCTGCTCCCCCCCTCCCCCTGCAGGGCCTGCTTCGATTCCTCCGATTCGATTCGATGCGATTTCGATGGCTCACGATTGCCATTCGATTCGACTTCGGAATCCGATTTGGACTCCGATTCCTTACTGGAGGCATACTAGCCTGGCGATTTTGCGCCGATTCGGCTTCTCCCGACTCGGCTGCCGATGTCCGCCGCTCCGGCTCATGTCCATCGCCGATCCGGCTCATCGATTCGATTCTGGGCTCTCCTGCCGATGGCGGGGGGTCCACTGGCCGCCCCCGCGCCCGCCCGCCCCTCTGCACGCTTTTTTTTTCAAGCCTGCCTTCCCGACCTTCAGCCCCCGGGCGCCTCCCCGACGCCGTCGGCGGTCGTCGTCTGCCGTGGCCGGGCGGCGCTCGCCGTCGTGCCGTCGCGCCACTTCTGCGGCCCCGGGGCCCGCGAGTCGTGCACGAGGCCGGGCCAGAAGCCCTCCGCCCACGACCCCGTCCTCCCGGGCGGGGCCAGTGACCAGCGAGAGTGCGTCGCGCAGAAAGCGCTCTTTGGGCCCCCCTCGCCGGGCATGACCTCGCGTGCCTGCCCGCCCTTCCCCCTCCCTCGTCCGCGTCTTCAAGGGGGTCTGAGCAGCTCGTTCTGCAACGCGGGGTGCAACTGCGGTCAATTCAGCTCATCTCGTCACAGATCTGTTCAGTTCGCTTCGGCTTCCTTACTTTGTTTCAGCTCAACGCAGCCCAACTCAGCTCAACTCGGCCTGCTCACTCAACAGGAACACCCCAGGACCTGATAGGACTCCAGGGAAAACCTCTTGACGACTACGTTTGACAGCGTGGACCTCGAAGAGTGACTTATTGCAACGTGGATGTGAGAGACACGTGGTACACATTCTAGACGCTTCGCGTAACCCACCAGCCCATCCAGAGACGATGCCCAGAAGAGTTGCCTCGATCAGGGAAGTGGGCAGCACACAGAGGATCCCTCTTGGAGCGCTCTTGGGACACTCTTGGGCGCTCTTGGGGCCGTATTTGGGCTCTCTTGGGCCTCTCTCTTGCGTCCTGTGGGCCTCCTGGCGGTCCCTGGAGCTTCTTGGAGCGCCTCGGACGCCTCGGGGAGCCTCGTGGGGCCTCCTGGGGGCCTCTTGGGGGTCTCTTGGGAGCCTCTTGGAGGTCTCGTGGGCGCCTCTCGGGCCTCCGTGGCGCCTCTTGGGGCGCTCCTGAGGCGCTCTTGGGAGCCCTGGGAGCGCTCTTGGGGCCATCTTGGAGGACATCGATCAAAAGGGAGGGGAGCTCCAATTAGCGCCCCCCCCCCTTGGGAGCCCTCAAAGTCGCCTCTTGGGGCGCTCTTGGGGCGCTCTTGGAGCGCTCTTGGCAGCTCTTGGGGCCGTTTTGAAGGTCTCTTGGGCCCCCATTGGGGCTCTCTTGGGCCATCGTAGAGCCATCTTGAGGCCTTGGAAGGCTATTGGAAGCGAACGGGCGACGATGCCAAAATAATTGTTTTTCTTTGCGTTTTTTTTGAGGATTATGGCTTCTTGAAGGCCTCCTTGGAGGTCTCGGAGGCCTCTTGGAGCCGTCTTGGAGCGTTCTTGAGGCCTCTTGGGCCATCTTGGAAGCCATCTTGGGCCATCTTGCGCTATCTTGAGCCATCTTGGAAGTCATCTTGGGCTCTCTGAGGCGCTCTTGGAGCCGTCTTGGGCGAAAAAGCACCGTCTGACCGCTCGCAGAACCCCCGTCCAGGTCCAGGGGAAGGGGTCGGGGGGAGGGGTAAGCCCCTCCTCGAAGGGGAAGAAGGGGAAGAAGGCAGGTGGAAGAGGAAACTCCCGAAACCACCTGCCACCTGCGCCCAGAGGGCTGGTGGAATCATGCGGTGCCAGCTCCGTGATGCAAACTATGTGGTGAAAGTGATGCGATGCAAGCTCAGTGGCACCGTAACGGGTACTCGCTAACGGGTACTTCGGAGATGTGCCGAACGTTACTGCTTTAGGGCCTCTTTCTGGC